CGTCTTAGGCACGGAACTTCCAGCCGCGCCAACCTCGTCTGTTGTTGTTAATCAAAACCCGGTCATTTGTTGTGTGGGCCAGGGGGTGCGGGGTGAAACGCCAAGGTGCGGGCTCGACCGTGTCATCCACATGCGCCTTTCCCCGCCTCCGGTCTTCTTGACTCTGTCTTGACACCCGGTCCGGGTGAGGTGGGGGCAACACAGTGTGGTAGATGTTGTGCAAGCCTACCATCACTATAAACTAACTCACACATAGGTCACCATGCCTGCTGCACCTTACTGTGGAGCACACGGTGGACATCATCGGAATCGACGGTCGAATTGTCGTGGGACGACTGACATGGTGCGAAATCCTGGTCAGTTTTCTGTAGTGTGTAGTGTGCGGGTTTTCGCCGTGCCATCGACCTGCATTCTCCCTCGCCCCCGATCTTCTCGACTCTGTCATGACACCAGGCCCGGGGGTTGGAGAGTAGGAGAAAGTGCGGTAGATTCTGCGCAAGTGGGTGACCAAACTCATGATATGTATCGAAATTTGCGAATGATTGCTAATCGCTCGCAAACTGACACCAATCCGTGGACTCAATATCTATGTTAATAAAGCACAACTGTAAGAGAATTAAAAGCATATAATAAATAATAAAGGCAATGTTGCGCTGTTTAGAAATGTCATTTTTTAGAAAATAGCAAAATCCCGAAAACGTCAAAAGTGACTGCTATTTAGCAAACTTCATTTTTAAATTTTTCAACGTCAGCCCATTGACAAAACTGAGTTACTATAAAACCACGAATAGAATAACAGTTAAAAATAATTTTTTAATGAAGTTTACATTTAAATAGCCTTTAAGAATTAGTGTAACTCCAGGTATGGCGCCTTGCCAACAGCCTACATTCTGAGTATAGATTCCGAAACAGTTTCCCGAGGATTCGTGGTATCCTTTAGTCTTTTGAATTAATTGAGATGCGGCTCAATAAGAAAAGCAAGATTTCGCTCGATTTCGCCGACAGGGACATCATAGGAACGAGCGTTTTAATAAGGTCACATGTTGCCGTTCTGATTAGTGTCAAATAATTTTAAATAGAATTGGCATGTGTAATCATAGGCATGCCATTTTATGTTATAAAGAGAACTTTTCTTCTGTTAAATTAATTTGTACTTTTCGTCCGTTCAGGATCACGTTGAGTTTCAGATCGGACTTGAATTATCGAGGAATACTTCACGATCTTCAGTGTTTCCATCCGATCACCGGTGAGGACACATTATGTATTATGCGTCTGTTATGAACCTTAAAATAAGGTACTTCTTGGAGGCATTTACCGAAGTAGAGTTTTGGGTCTTCTTTTTCATTTAGAACGTCATCCGTGCCACATTGGAAGACTCACGCAAACAAGAACTCTCATCGTCGGATATAACTGATATCAACAACGAAAGTCAACAGTAGATCAGTCCTAACACTTTCTCCAATGAATTGCCTCTATAAGGAGCGCTTTGATACTACATCCTAGTGAAGGATGTCTGAGTACTTTAATTTTTTACAGAGTGAGACCAGAAACAAAAAATGGACACCTTCGGCCGTTTCTTTCACTTTGCTAAAGTATGCTGATATTTTTCGACCGCAAACGCAAGAACGCGTCTTTTTTCTTTGTATTGTGGCCACTTAAATTGTCTTTGCTTGACTTTAGACTCCGTTCTACGATTAGGAATGCACGGCAGAGTGGCTATATATACACCGATATTTTGTTAAAGATGTTAACGTTTAGCTCGTTTCATTTTGGAATAAGATATGTGCAGAGGCTAGACTGCACAAAAAGTAATATTTGATACGTTCAAAGCTGCAAATGACAGTTCGGTGGTGGTCGTTCCCTTGACAACACGTAGGAATTTCCAAACAGCAAAACAATTTTAGTTTATTTAAATGAATATTGCCTGTATGCGTTATTACTGCCCTTTAGGGCACAAAATCGCACAGATCTGTTGATCTAAATTCTATAAATCGACAAAACAACTAGTGCTCCTAAAATAATTTTTGTTTTAGGAAGTTGATTACCACGGTTACCATCAGATAAAAAATTAATTTTCAAATCCGAAAACCTCTGTTTATTGAAACTCCCTGGAGGAAATTACTCTCCTTCCAAGAACAAACCCGCTCCGATGGGCAACCGAAGTCCATAACAGGTGTTAGCGTAGGAAAATGTCCGAGTATACTGCGACGCCCATCCTCGATCAAATTAATGAACATGTTGCTTGAAAGAATTACGTGGGCACAATTTCTTCACAAGATGAGGACATCTCGTAAAGGTAGCTGAGCGGGAAAGCAAAATGCGTAACGTGTAAAACGTCCTCAATTCTCACATTAGATTCTGTCAACAGGTTTCAGGAGATAGGTCACGTACTGTAAGTCACCGTTCCTGATTCCACCTTGCGGTGAAGCACACGGTGAACATCGTCAGAAACGCCAATCGAACTGTTATACATTGCAAAATCGACCTTTAAACGTGGGCTATGTATCACTTTTTCTGCTCGTGCTTATGGGAACTGGCACCATTCAACTGGCGATAAATTACCTTAGTCTATCTAAAACAAATGTCGTTTCAGCATTTGGCCGACAGCAGTTACATTCCTGATATCATCCGCATTTTTTATTGAAAACAGGTTCCCCGAATTACCAATACGTCTTTGGGAAAACAATTTAAATCACATCCATAACATCAGATTTAAAAATCTTTTCTGTTTTGCGCGACCACTACGCCATTAGTGTCCATTCCCTACATAAACTAAACAACATTATGTTTGGTTTTGTTTAAAAAGTCTGTTTTCACGGAAAAATGATCTCTGTGGCCTGATAACCCTTCTTTGAAAGGATATTATTGTAGGATAAATTTTGTGAAAATTTTCATCCCCATTAAGCCATGCCGGCCGTCGCAAAAGTACTGGCGACAGGTCTGTCTGAAAAAGCATTACTTCAATCAAAACAGCCTCTGCTCCGCAACTGACTGATTTAATCAGCACCGTCGTTGGAATGTCTATTAAGCAAACTTCGCTTAGCAAATTTAATGCGAAACAGATGTAGATCAGAAAAAAGGTCAACATATAACCTCGTTCATCGCCCATATATGCATGAATATATTGTATATATTATATATGCTATATATTACATATATAATTGTGTTTCAAGATGGAAAGGAGAAGGCTCCTCAGAAATCGGTGTTGTACACGTGAATTTTCCAGGTGGTGACTGATTGGTGGCACAAATCTCAAAATTCGCGAATGCAGTTTATCTTTCTGAAGAAACTCTTTTTTACCATAACTGCTGAATATACATACTACGTCAGTTAATCAATACATATGCATACATATAATGGCAAAATCGCATTACCGACAAAGACATGGGAGCCTCGAATGGCCATTTACGGCTTATTAGTTATCGTCAGCCAGCCATACCCCACCCCGGATCAGGCCCCAGGTGCTCTTCATCTCGGGGTTAGGCGTAGATTGCTGACGACGCTCGATGAGCCAGAAATGACCACTTCAGTCTCCCTGTTTTTGTCGGCAATGTTTTTCAGCCTTTATCATGCGCCGCTGTGCGGCTGATGGTGGGCCTCGAGAGAGAGCCCTAAGGCGCAACGGGTCAAGAGAGTCCCATAAAAACGTTTGGTGGAGGTCCCTCTACCAAACGTGCCACGTGTTAGATGCGCTGGACCAACACGGGGGCCACATCGGACTCTGGCAGGCGTTATCTGTGCGCAATAACAAATGCCAAAATTTGCGGGGTGCGCTGGCGGACCCTGTTGTCGGCATTCGTCGCTCAACTGGACCACTGCCGCCACCCCATTGTTTTGTGGTCAAAATCCTGGTCATTTGTGTGTGGACCAGGGGGTGCGGAGTGGAGCGCCAAGGCGAGGATCCGTCCGAGCCATCCACCTGCGGCCTTCCCCGTCTCCGGTCTTCTTGACTCTGTCTTGACACCGGGCTCAGGCGGGGAGGAGGAGAGAGTGTAGGTAGATGCTACGCAAGTCTACTGGCACTGTAAACCCCTGCATAAGTCACCGTCCCTGCTCCCACAAGGCAGTCTGTGGGGCATACGGTGGACATCGTCGAAATCGACGGTCGAACTGTCGTATATATATTTGGAAGAGAAGAGACCCAATCAATACCGACTGACGCACACTGAGGCCGTTTCCTTCTGCAAAAGCCAAAAAATATCGATTTGTAAGCACGCTTGAAATGTTAGTTGTCGTTTGAGAATTTGCTTAAGTCTGAAGACGACCTGGGGAACCAGCGCCGAACATTTACTTAATAAAGTCTTCTACTTTTCCCAAAGAACGTATTTGTTTTCAAAAATATATATGTGTATAGACAGAATAACATTTCCGACAAGGACAAGGGAGACTGGAATGGCCATTTCTGGCTTATTAGCCGTCGTCAGCCAGCCGTACCAAAGCCCTGCGGTATGCCACACCTTCAACTTTCCTCCAGGAGATGTGGCACCGAGGATAGGTTTATAAGGCGACAACCTTACTTCTCTACAAACGAAAAGCAAACCGGCAGTTTTGTGATAGGCCCAGAGGAACATCGCCGTCCAATATCGTCGGGATGATCCCAGCTCGCATCCTCCTCAACCGTCTCGACGGCCATACATAACAGTAATTTTTCCGTGCAGATGTGGTTATGTAGCCGCACCTGACGTAAACAAACCCCAGCCGTCTATAATAAGGGACCGATGGTAATAGAGGTTTTTATAGGTAGAGCCGGGGGAACGCACAGACGACGAGGTCGAGCAATGGTATGTAAAAGAAAAGCTATTTGAGATGCGCGATTTTACTTTGAGTGGTTGAAAAATGGTTGTCCTAACCCCTAATTCTGACCCCTAACCCTGACCCCTAACTCCTAACCCTAACCCCAAACAGTATTGTGTCAGTCAGGTGCGGTTGCATAACCAAATCTTATCATTATTTTCCCAGAAAACAAATGTAGCTTCCAACGACACAGCAGAACCGTCGACATGATCTTCACTGTCCTCCAACTGCAAAAGAAATGTCAGGAGATACGGAGCTACAACATTACATTTGTGAATCTGACGGTAGCCTTTGATGCGGTTAATCGAGATGGGCTGTGGAAAATCATGCATAAACTTGGAAGTCCTAAACGATCCACGCACATGGTGCGTGAGCTCCATGATGGCGTGATGGTGTGCGTCACGGACAAGGGACAGTCTGAAAGACATTCGCGGTGGAATGGCGGCGTCTTCGACCTCACCCTTTTCAGTCTCATGTTCTCTGCCTTGCTGACGGGAGCCTCCCGTAATGAGCGTCCCGGAATTCGCATCGTTCACGGTACCGAGGGCCGACATCTCAATAATCGGTGTATGCAGGTCCCAACGCGTATACCTACTACTGTCTACGATCTGAACTTGGCTGACGACTTCGCACTCAACACCACGACAAAAGCTGACGTGTAAGGGAGCATGAAACTCTTCTCTTCCATCTGCGCCAACTACGAAATGACCATCAACTCAGACCAAACTGCCCCCCAACGCCATACACAGTGTTTCTCGTATCCATATCAATGGAACCCAACTAAAGACTGTGGAAAACTTAATCTACTTAGACAACGCCTTTATGCTTCATCAAAGTGGACATTAAAGTTGCATACCGGATCCTTAAAGGGAACTGGACCTTCGGCCGGCGGCAGAACTCAGTATGGAAACATTGCGGTGTCCATCTCAACACCAAGCTGAAAATGTGCAAAGCTATCGTTTTGATGACGATTCTATCTACAAGAAATAAGCGCAGAACCTAAATTTCTTCAGACCCATCTTTCTCCAGCGAATGCCAAAACGGAGATTAAGCCCACCGCTACACGAACACTGAAAAATTCATTGAAACATTTGAAAATGAGCACGGAAACCTGGGAAGACCTCTCACAGGACTGATCGGCCCGGATAAGAGCAGTGAATACTTGACCAAACGGATCGCCGCTGTCGAAGCCTGAAGAGGAGCACGCAAGTCTCAGGCACCCCTGTCCTGCACAGCTACATTCAACTCCTCCCAACATGCTGGCGTTGTCAACGAACATTCCGCGCGCAGATCAGCCTCTTCGGTCATCACCGGATCCAATTCACCAACAGCCCGACATTCCCACATGCTGCCCCCTTACTGCAACTTCCCCGACACCCACGGCGACGACCATTCTTACCACCAGCGATCACAATCTCGATGCCTCGCCACTGTACAACACCGCCATATTCATCATCCCTGTCACAACCTACACCGAGAAGACGACGACCAGAGCGCCCACTCCCGCCACCGGTGGAAACATTCCCGGCGCCGTGCCAACCATCAGACTCACCGTCACCACCTCCATCTCCTGTGATGCGGACTTGGTTCCTCATTACGATCGCATGCTCCACCCAGGCATCGGAATGGTCGGTCACTTACGAGCTGGCGCTTAAACCCAGCATTCAGCCAAGTTTTACGTTTGTGTTTTGGGTGGCCGACTAATGGAACGAGGGTCGGACTGCGATAAGTCCTTCTTAGTGGCACTCCTCTCACCCGAGACAAAGCCGCTCCCGCCTTGCGCGTGAAATCCTGGTGTATGCAATACAATTAAATTTTTAGGGGAATCGAAAGTCAACGAGAAAATGCATGCTTCTTAGGCAGTCATTTTTACGGAGTGTGGCGTTTGTAGGCAGCCGAAAAGAACTCCATTTAAAAGCCGACATTCTGAATTAACTGAATTATTACGGAATCATCCTGCATGATGTTAAATCTTGGAACCCTACTTAATTAATCTTTTTGAAACGAAAACGCATTTTGGAATTTCGGTTGACATTCCTGAGTTAACTCACCTACTGTAAGTAATCCTCCCTAGTCGAGAACGCATTTCAGAATTTCAGCCAACATTTTATGAGACCGGTTACCGACTGTATATATGTCAAGCTAATAATTTCAGAAATTATTCATTGCGGGCATTGAGTTAAGTCCCCGGTATACACATATTTTTTAAGACAACCACGTTCGTTAGGAAGAATAAAGAACTTTATTAGGTAAATGTTTGATGCTGGTCTCCCAGGTCTTCGTCAGACCCGAGTAAATGGGCGAAAACAACTGACATTTCAAACTTGGGGAAAATTCAATATTCATCTGACGTTTGGACCAGTAAGGGGTCGGTGCGTGCCTCTTATCTTTTCCAATCCCCCTAAGATTTTTGTACATGGCATCTACCTCAATGTGCCGATTTATGCATGATTCATCGGGGTGCATGGCTTTAAGTAACTATCGCCTTTTTTGGAGGTACAAACTCCGAGGATGCAATTTTTGTCCCATGCGAAGGTGTGCCCAGTATCAAGGGTGTGCATGACCATTTGAGACAGGTGGTTTTGCCTTTTAACTATCAGTTGGTGTTCTTGGATGCGCGTAGAAGCAGACTGTCCCACTTGGCCACAATATACAGTATCACAGGCATCGCACAGGATTTTTCAGACGATTTCTGTCCTATCAAGATAGCCAACCTTCTCCTTAGTGTGTACAAACCGAGTACGTAAAGCGGTCGTCGGCTTGAGCGCTACTTTTGTTTGGTGTCTCCTCAAGTGTATTTCAGCAAGTTCAGAGACATTCCTGATTTAAGGAAGGGGTCCCCAGGTATCTAAATTGGGCAGCTGGATGAAACTATCTAGTTTCTTTGTTTTTATACCTTGTTGTCTCATGCATCGACGTACCAAATCTCTAGAGTAACGGTTCTGGAAAAATAAGTAAAACAGGTAATTTAGCTCAACTTGGTAGCATTTTTTGGTCAGAGCAATGTACACAATACGTGGGCTTTCTCATGAAATGTCAACCAAAATTCCGAAATGCGTTTTTGTTTCCGAAAGATTAATTAAGTAGGGTTGTAAAACTAATCAGCCTGCAGCGTAATGTCATAATAATTCAGTTACCCCAGGATGCCGGCTTTCGAATGAACCTCTTTACGGTTCTATGCAAAAACAACACTTTGCAAGAAATCACTACTTATGTGGCATTCATTTTGCTCATTGATTTTCAATGCCCTTAGAAATTTAATTATATTGCATAAAAACGCATAACAATATTCAGTATTTTGCTAATTCGGTAGAAAATTGTGTCCTTTTCCTATTTTATACTCGAAGGATGAGGATATTTCTGTTTTAAAAAGTTTCTAATTGTAAGATATTTTAACACCGCGAAATGGCCGTTCATAAAACCTGATGTTTGGGCATTTGCCAATGTTGCTTGTAAATTTAGCAGTATAGCTTATATTCACTGCCAAATTTTATGAGCGCCATACGGTCTCCTCCTAATACCTTAGAGAAATGCATGGTTTTTTGTACGCGGAAATTATACGGCTTGTAGTTTGGAAACCCTGAATACAAGTGTAATGGCAGGTCGGGTTCAAAATTATTCGGGAATTGGAAAAAATTCTGAAAACCGAATTATACTCTTCCTTCGGGCATAAAATTGAAAGAGCACGTCATGTCCTACCAAATGAGAAGGAAAATGAATATTTTTAATGCAGGATTTCCATGAAATATAACTGAATAGTTAAGGGCCTCGAAAATCAATGAGAAAAATGCATGCTACATAAATAAGATGTATGGTTCTACGTGCGCAGAAAATATAGGGCTTGTATTTTGTAAACCCTTAATGTAAGTGTAACGGCAGGTCGGGTTCAAAATTATTCGCGAATTGGAAAAGGTTTTAAGTACTGAATCATGCACTTTCTTGGAATAGAAAATGAGGTGAAGACATAATTTCCTACCGAATGAACAAAAGATTTTTATGCATGTTTTCTAGGAAATATAATTGGGTTTTCGGGACATCGAAAATCAATACGCAAAATGCATGCTACATAAGTAGGCATTTTTTTACAAAGTATAGTTTTTGCATGCAGCCGAAAAGCAGTTATTTTAAAAGCCAGCATCCTGAGGTAACTGTATTACTATGACATTACGCTGCGCGCTGATTAGTTTTACAACCCTACTTAATTAATATTTTCGAGACGAAAACGCATTTCGGCATTTTGATTGACATTTCATGAGTAAGCTCACCTACTGCATATATATGTAATGGTAGGGGACGCTCACCAGTCGTTCATACGGAACCGTCAGGACAACAGCCTCGTGGCTTAGTGGTTAGAGGGGTGGACTTCTAACTAACAGGTCGCAAGTTCGAGCCTCGGCTGTTCCACACTTCGGGGTTGGGCATGACATTCTCCCTTGTCTTTGTCGGTAATGCCAATCTATATATATATATTATGATAGTGGGCGCACACCGATCAGGTTACGGAACATGCTCGTTCCGTTGTGCCTTGGGGCTCATACTTAAACCCTCGCAGGCAGTCGCACAGCGACTAGTGATATATGTTGGAAATGTAATACCGACAAATACAAGGGAGACCGGAATGGCCATTTCTGGCTTATTAGCCGTCATCAGCCAGTCATACCCAACCCCAAGTGTGGATCACTTGAGATTCGAACCCGGGATCTTTGGTCATGGAGTTGAACGCTCTACCATTGAACCACGGGCCCGTTGTCCTGTCGGTTGTGATCGGGAATATTAATTATGATAGTGGGCGCACACCGATCAGGTTACGGAACATGCTCGTTCCGTTGTGCCTTGGGGCTCATACTATCATAATTAATATTCCCGATCACAACCGACAGGACAACGGGCCCGTGGTTCAATGGTAGAGCGTTCAACTCCATGACCGAAGATCCCGGGTTCGAATCTCAAGTGATTCACACTTGGGGTTGGGTATGACTGGCTGATGACGGCTAATAAGCCAGAAATGGCCATTCCGGTCTCCCTTGTCTTTGTCGGTATTACATTTCCATATATATATATATATTATGAGAGATGGGCGCTCACCGATCTGGTTACAGAACATACTCGTTCTGTTGTGCCTTTGGGGCTCATACTTAAACCCTCACAGGCAGTCGCACAGCGACTAGTGATATAGGTAGATAAGGTGATACCGACAAAGACAAGGGTGACCGGAATGGCCATTTCTGGCTTATTAGCCGTCATCAGCCAGTCATACCCAACCCCAAGTGTGGATCACTTGAGATTCGAACCCATGGCACAGGAGCGCTCACCAAACGCGTTATGGAAATCGTCCGTGCCGTTGTGTCTTGGAGCTTTTTCGAGTCCCTCGTGCAACCATGCAACCGCGCGTTATAGAGGCAGAATAAGACAGAAGTGGCCATTCCATTCCCCCTTGTCTTTGTCGGCACTGATGAATTGCGGTTCGATGAGGTTCGTATGACCATCCGATTGATCCCAGTGATGGACCTGATTCGCCAGCTCTGTATGCGTATGTTTGTGTATGCGGTCCCAGATAGTGGTCAAACTGGCTGGAAAAGACAAACAAGCCCGAATCAATTCTGCATCTATCAATCCCCTTGACTCTGCATCTCCCACCTGCTAGCATGACTTGGCCGGCTTCAGCCTGGCAGAGGGGTGCGTGTTAGTGACCCCTGTTCTCCATAAGAAACTTGTTTTCTTCGGCAAGCCAGTGTATCAAGGTATGCATATTCCTACGAGTACAACTCAATTTTTCCGACGAGCCTTCTTTCTTCATATATATATATATATTACATAAGCAGCTCACTAAGAGTGCAGCTAACCAGACGCAGACAGCTGCCTCCCGGTCATTACCGATCATCAGTACGTCATAGGTCATATAAGGTGAGATATATAAACATGTGTATGCGTATTGAAGACCAAGCCTCCGTTAATGGCATTGAATTACTGTTAATGTGTCCCATCACATCGAATCGCGACTCTTGTTTATGCAATGTTAGCAAAATTACTGCCGCTGTCCGCCTAGGGTGGTGCCATTATTTTAAAAAAGGACATCTGGCAAGGTGCACTTTGTAATACGGATCTGAAAAAAATATAACCGTGTGTCTGTGTGCACTTTCAAGGCGAACTGAAGGTAATCTGGTTTAGTTCGAATCGTTTGTAGTTTATAAAACACGAGCTGGTACGGCACCAAACTGTCTGCAAACCAGAGATCTCTAGGTGCATTATTTTAATGGGCCATCATTACCCTGGAACCCAGTGGCCTTTATACTATTGATGAGGGTTTGACCTCTTGAAATTTAGGATTCTCAAAAACTAGATGAACTCTTCCTCAAAGCTGATTTAAAGGCCATAATCGGCCGAGTTTTTAGTCGACTCGAACATCGCGCGGGCGAGTTAAGGTTTTGCACTAAAAAGGGTTTTCGGACAAAGTTATTTATCACGTTGTGTAAGTTACTCAGATATCTCTCATCATCAGAATATTTATCCCTTTTAAGACCAGCAGGTTGACCTGCGTTCAACGCTATCGGATCCAGAACCGAGATTAGGAGCCAATTACGTCAATAGTAGAAGAGGCAATTTAACTAGAGCATCCGATGTTATCTGTGCCTGGCTTTGAACGGTTGGAGCACGT